CGTGTGCAGGTGCCATCGCATAGCAGAGAAGAAGAAGCGCTTGCAGATCGTGTACGCTGGAGAGATGGACCATCACCTTTTCACAATCGTATTCGCACGGGCATTGTAATCAATCTCCAACATAAAGATCCAGCTTCCTTTCTCAATGATGCAAAACAACTGTCAACAGCACATTTGAGAAGTGTTCGCGAAAAAAATGGCGATATAAAGGCAAATGCTATTTTAGCGTGCAAATTTACATTGAAAAAGGACGAAGTGATTACTAGTGAAGTTAAATATTTCAATACAAAAAATGAAATCATTCTACCAGCTACAGATCTGGCAACATGGTTTGATGACAATGTGAGTGAGCCATTGCTCACGAAAATCGGTGATTTCCAAGAACGTCATTCAGGATGGGAATTGAGTGAAATTAGAAATTAGATGGTCAATATGAACCGATATGGTCCACTGAAGGGTGGCTCGTCAACGTACGTCAAGTTGCCCTATGATATTCAATGTAAAAAAGCTGTTGTCAATGTCAAAAATTCGGATGAATTTTGTTTTTTGTGGTCAGTTATTGCTGCTCTCTATCCAGTAAAGACGCATCGATGTGCTACTTCATCATATCCCGATTATACCACAGCATCTCTTCTACATAGTCAAAAGCTAATTGATTATGCAAACATTCGCTTCCCCATGACCTTAAGTGATATTCCAAAATTTGAGAAAATGAATGACCTCTCAATTAATGTTTATGGAATTGAATGTGGAGTGAACAGTGAGAACGAAATTGTCCCTTTCTACCTCAGCAAGATGAACTCGCGCATACCTATAATTCATTTACTTCTCTTTTGTTCGAATGTGTATGTTGCCGCTGATGTTCAACCAATTTACCACTTCGCATGGATAAGAGATCTCTCAAGACTTCTGAGCGCGAAAATCTCAAGTTTTGAACACCGTATGTGACTTTGTGATCGGTATTTGTGTCATTTTCACACGGAAAAAAATTATGAGAGCCATAGACAAGATTGTTTCATTAGCAATAAATGCAAAATGGTTTTACCATCAGAGGAGATGAAAATCTTGAATTTTAAAAATCACAGATATAAAGTGGCTGTACCATTCACGATTTACGCTGATCTCGAGTGTATTGTAAGACCCAGTGATGATGGTGATGATGATAGATTAGATCAAAAACATATTCCATACAGTGTCGCCTTTTACTTGCAGTGTTCCTTTGATAATAATTTATCGCGCTTTGACATTAAACGTTGAAGGGATTGTATTGCGTGGTTCATGGATGAATTAAAGAAAATCGGAGTGATGGTGAATGATAAACTAAGAACGATTGTACCAATGGAGCCGCTCACGTACGCACAGTCCCAAGAATTCTCAG